AAGAGCTCGGGGTGACAGCATCGCACACACCGCAGCATAGCTTTTATCCTGGGGATGTCTTTTGATGTTTTGGATTGATGTTGTATGATACAGTTTTCCGCACAATATTTTATTATGTTTTGGGGATACATCGCGTATGTTTTATGTTATGATACTTATATTACGGTTTAGATTATATTGAAAAACGAAAATTTTTGGGTCGTGTTTTTGGGTCGTTTCAGTAAGTGAATGACGATTCACTAATTCTCCATTACAAAACTTAAACTATTAGTCCTAAGTGTTTTTTTGAGAATTCCTAGGTTCGGATGAGATTCATTGAACTATTCAATGGCATGTTTAAATCTCGATATGCCCCTCTTGTTTGTGACTGGGATGCCGAGGATCACAAAGCGGTTGTGAATTACCATGCAAATTCACATGGTGCCTTCATTGTAATGATCACCTATTCGATGTGCCGGTAAACCACACATGCTCCATCAAACTATGATAAACAATGAATCACCCTTTGTCACCTTCGCTTAGAACCAATTAGTGTGCCGGTAAACCACACACGCTCCACTAACTTCTTAGCAAGGTGCAAAGTGTAATTTCATGGGATTGCATCAATTCACTTTTCCTAAAGTAACTAAGATTGAGAAATTTTTAAAACATGTAGTTACTTTGTGTTTCTTATTATACTTTTAATGAGAGGATGAGGTTGCCCTATCCTACCCGTTCGGCTAACGACCCTCCACCAATCAAGCAAGCGGTGGGTGTGAGTGTACACCCACTAAGCGCCATTTTATAGGCCGCAACCTTATACCCACCTTATAGATCGGCTTCGTGAATGAGGCCTACTACCGGTAAGACTAGCATTTAGTTATACATATATATATATTATTCTAGTAATATCATATAAGTATAGGGTTGTATTTTAAAACCTTTTAAAATCTAGGGTTTGAAATTTAAGTTGTCTAAATTAAAACTTTTAATCACAAATATAAATTTCAAAACTTTAGGGTAGGTTTTAAACATTTAAAACATGGAGGATCAAATAACAAATAATTCCAATTAACAATTAATATCCTAATTATCTTTATTTGATTTATCTAAGATTTCTTTCAAGATAATTATCAAAATAATTAATCATTATCATATAAGGAAATTAAATATTTTATTAGATGATAAATATCTTTAATTAGATCAAGATAATAGTCATATTTATCAAAAAATCGGATTTAGATTGATCTAATATGATTAAGGTAAGTTTCCATAAGATAATTATGAAAAAATCCCGAATCTGGTCATTCCTGACGCCTGGACTCGCCGAGTACACAAGGGGACTCGCTGAGTCCACCTTGGAACTCGCCGAGTCAGTGACTCATAAACCCAAAAAATCGAATTTTGCAGGTTTGTTTCAGTTAATCAAGCAACAATTTAAAGAAAACCAAGCTAGGCTCTGATACCACTGATGGGTTTTAGCCATAAGAACTTTCCTATGTGCGCATGCAAAACCCTATTGCTCGGATCTAGGCTTTCTAATTAAACATGCTTTGAATCCAAGACTTCTAATAGCTAATTAGGTTAAATAACAATGATGAAACAGATCTAGAATCATACCTTTGAGTTCCTTGTTGATCTTGTTTGTCTTGGAGCTTCTAGAGTCACAAATGTCACTCCTCTAATGGCTTACAAACACCAATAGCAAGCAAGATGATTTAGGAGAGAGGAGAGAGGAGGAATTCGGCCAGAGGTTCCTTGCTTTAGGTTGTGTGTCATTCCCTCACCCCTAGGGTCTATATATACTTGTAGACTCCTTAAGGATTACCACTTAAACCCTAATTGGATAATCTTCTCTTAAGGCTATCCAAATCCATTCCATAGATAACCCTATGGACGATTTTGGCTTATCCAAGCCCTAGAAATCGTCCATCCTATCTAGGATAAGGATTTACAGTCTAAAGTGTAACTATCAAACAATTGACAGTTTATACCCTCTTATTTAATTAATCTCTTTAAGTCACCAAATTAATACCAATTAATTTATGACTTATATTAATCAAATAGCCATATATTATTCCTTATAATATTTACTCTCTCTTAACAAATCATCCTTCAAGTTGCTATGGTGAAGGCAACCCAAAAGGACCATGCACAACCGGATATAGTTATAGCCTTAGACACTATTCCAACACTTTCATACTTCCAATTCAAGCCAAATAAGGCAAGAAGAAACCCTAGATTTGACACATCAACCAAAATACGAAGTTTAGCTCTGAAAGTTACCTCAAGAAGGTTCCCTTGATGAAATGAAAGCAGATCCAAGCTCCCCAACTCTTCAAGCTTGATCTTCTCCTTCCTTTCTTGCAATAACACACAAAATGATGAACAAATAGCCTCCTATCTCACTCACAAGGTCTCTCAGCCGTTTGGGTGCACTCAGGGCTCCAGGTGGTCGCAAATGAAGGCCATAAGGTCCTTTAAATAGGGTTTAGGACCGGAAAATTAGGGTTTCATTAAACAGCACGGACTCGCCGAGTCCATCCCTTGGACTCGCCGAGTTCGGACGCGAACCTCCGTCCAAAACCGCGACCCGACTCGGCGAGTTCGACCTCCAACTCGCCGAGTCCCCTCACAGAATACCAAAAATATGAAAGTAAAGATACCTGGAGATTTGGGCTGTTACATATTTACACAACTTCATTATAATATAAGGACATATACATACTTGAGTATACATCAAATTACCAACAAAGAAAGCGTAAAGAATCTTTTATTTCTCTCTAACCCAAGTTGTACTTTATGACACTGATTGAGACTAAATCAATCTCTTTTAGCAATAAGGGTGTCACTTGGTTTGTAGTTAGCATGCAAAGTTTTTCAAGGATCTTATGGATGTAGCACTTGGAATTGGGTTTTAATCAACAGCAAATAAAAATGTGGGCATTATCAACACAATAAGGTGTATGTGATGCTTCATTTTGAGGATCACATAACTGCGATGATTCGAGAATGGAATATTAGAATTGGGTTTTAGAAATGGATTGTGGATAATGGAGGGTCTCATTAAAATCAGAATTATTTCGAGATAGCCAATATTGATTATACAAAACTTACATGAATGGATGACTATATTGGGGTTGATATGGTGGGTATTGGGGATAATTTGAAACAACAAGGTGTCAGATACATCTTTGGCTTGGATCTTTTTTTTGAGCATCACATAACTGCGATGATTCGAGAGTGGAATATTAGAATTGGGTTTTAGAAATGGATTGTGGATAATGGAGGGTCTCATTAAAATCAGAATTATTTCGAGATAGCCAATATTGATTATACAAAACTTACATGAATGGATGATTATATTGGGGTTGATATGGTGGGTATTGGGGATAATTTGAAACAAGGTGTCAGATACATCTTTGGCTTGGATCTTTTTTTGGTGTGGATTTGTCACGACTAGAATCCATTTGAAATAGAAATGAAATGTGATAAGAGAAAGTTAAAATGAAATTAAAGTGAATTAGATGAAATAGAATGGGACAAAATGAATGGTTTTTGAAGTTGTTAAGTCATGAGTGTGACATTTATGGGTGATAAAATGGAAAATTTTGAAAAAGATGATCGTTTGTAAACACTCAAGAAGAGAGATAGAGTGAGAGTGAGAGAGAATCAGAGTAGAGGAAGTTAAGAGAGGTGTATTGACACGAATTAACTTACCTATCCCATCCATCAAAACTCTAGTATTGCACTTGCTCGGAGTTGTGTAGCCGACAATAATGTTGGTATGATGATATCCCTTTTAACCTTGAACTTGCACACTATATGACTCTATGCACCCTAAGCAACTTCTTATCGTTAATGTATCATAAATAATCATAATATCCAATTTTTTTAAACACAACATTATCATTTGTTACAATTCAACCGACAAAGCAATCAACCAACCTCAACGAATGATAAAATTCATATCACATAAAAATCATAGTACCTAAATCTTTTTTAAACACGACATTATCATTTGTTACAATTCAACCTACTTAGTATTTAACCAACCTCAACAAACTATCAAATACATATCACATAAGGAAAAAAATAGCCACTGAATGATACACGTTTAGCAAGAATGATATATAGAAATTGTTACAAATAAAATATATATGATTACGGCCGATTTGTTTATTAGTGATAGATAATGACGGATTAGCGATGAATAGTAAAAGACTAACGAAGGATAAAAACACGTTTGCTGCAGATTAACGACAAATTAGTGGATAGTGCCAAATTAAAATTCTAGGCGTCTTAACGACATGAGTCGTATACATTTGCACACACGACACCTCCTTAGGTATGATTGTTCTCTATTTTGATAAAACAAAATTGTTCAATTGAACAATTTGGTTTGAATATTAGGTATTTGGATTGAATTTTAGCAAAACCAAATTATTATCTTGAATTTCAATTGCTTTTGGTTTATAAAATAAAAAACTAAATTGTCCAAAAAGATCAAATAATCACGAAAATATATCTCTTTTATTGGTTGTAATTTATATTTGTTTCTATAAATTGAGTTCTTATTTTTTTTTTATCCAAATAAATGTAGGTACAATAAGCATATTTAATGCAATATTAACTAATAATTTTTGGACGTTACATGTTTAAATTTTACTTACATATGTTAAACAATTTTTATACAACAATATTTCAATATCATTGATGAATTGGGCCCAAAGAAACTACTAATAAAATAAATGTAGGTACAAGAAGCATATTTAATGCAGAATTAACTAATAATTTTTGGAAGTTACATGTTTAAATTTTACATGCATATATTAAAACGATTTTTATTTTTATACAACAATATTTCAATATCATTGATGAATTGGGCCAATGAAACTACTAATAAAGTCTTAAGAGGGGGTATGTTGCAAATAGTTATAAACTTGAGGGAGCAAAATGCCATTAATACTTTCAATGTCAATATTTACCCCATTTTGACCAGCGGTCGTCATAAAAATTCCGCTACACAATTTTGCAAGAGCAGCTACAACAAAACTTTCCCTCGTCGCCGACTTTGTAATCTGACGCGCCGCTGAGAAACCCTAGTTCGCTTGTCCTAAGTTATCTTCACTAAATGTATTCCAAATCTTATCAAGAAACAGTTTCTTGAATGAATTTATGTGTATACTTTTGATTTTTGTTATTTTGAATAACAACTCTTGTTTTGATTCAGTAAAAGGAGAAGAAAGCGAAAAATGTCGACGGCGTTGACGGAGGAAGATATCAAGAGGTTGTACAGAATAAGGAAAACAGTGATGGAGATGTTAAAGGACAGGAATTACTTGGTTGGAGAATTCGAGTTGGAGATGGATAGAAGGCAGTTTATTCAAAAGTATGGAGATAACATGAAACGTGAAGATCTCGTCATCAGCAAATCCTTGAAGAACGATAGCTCCGAACAGGTTCTAATATTTCTTTATTGTAATTATTGCTATATGATTTTGTGATTCGATTGTGCTGAAAGCTTAGTAATCGGGGCGTATAGAATGTAAGTTCGAATATCCTCTTCTGTTGTTAATGACATTGATTTCTATCTTGTATTTGTATATAACTTCTTTCATATACAAATTAGAACAAGAAAACATAGAATTTTAGGGTTAGAGTACATATCGATGAAATATTGTTCATAAGAAAACATGAATCAGGAAATAGTTTATTGAAATTTCCATTTAACTTTCTAACTAAGATCGGTTCTTGCAAATTTCACTATCAGATCTATGTCTTCTTCCCCGATGAAGCAAAAGTTGGAGTCAAGACAATAAAAAATTACATAAACCGAATGAAATCAGAGAATGTCACCCGAGGAATCCTGGTTGTGCAACAAAATCTCACTCCATTTGCCAGAACTTGCATTAGTGAAATATCTGCTAAATTTCATTTAGAGGTTTTTCAGGTAATTTCATCATCGATTCTTAACATAGGTTATTATATGGCTTGACTAATTCATAACTCAACTGACATGCAGGAAGCAGAGTTGCTAGTGAATGTAAAAAACCATGTTCTAGTTCCAGAGCATCAAGTTCTTGCTAATGAAGAGAAGAAAACATTGCTTGAGAGATACACAGTAAAAGAAACACAGGTGAGTTTATTTATTTATTGTTGATTTACTTAATTACTGATTGAGGATTTGAGATGAACGTTTTGAAAATTTGGGTGCAGTTGCCTCGAATTCAAGTGACAGATCCAGTTGCTAGATATTATGGGCTAAAACGTGGGCAGGTTGTGAAAATCATTAGACCAAGTGAGACTGCTGGGCGATATGTTACTTACAGATATGTTGTCTGAATGAGTGTCTGAATTGTGAACTTGGATTATTCAGCTTTGTTGTGGCTTAATACTTTTGTTAAAATCACATTATTAACATTAGCATTAGCAACTCTCGTAATGTGACATTCATGGATGGAAGTCGAATTGGTTATACCTATTATTAGAGTAAATATTCGATTATTGGTTTTCGTTTATTGTGATTTTTTTTTTTGTCAAATTAAAGTTAAAATAAGTAGTTTTCGGATTTCAAAAACCGCATAAAGTTTATGGGTTGTGGTTTTTCCACTTAAAAGTAGATTTCATAAAGTGGGAAAAAATGGATACCTCCAGATAGGTGATTTGATGTTGTTTTCAATATTAAGAGAGAGTAATTATATCTTTGAAGAATTTTTATAGCCAAATCATTGCAAGTTGTATTTTGTTTTCTATCTCTTCCTGTAGAAATAACCAATAACTATCACATTGTCTAAATTTATGCCAAGGCTGCAGGATGTAGCACCATTAATGGAAGTTTTTGATTCTATTTCAAGCACAAGAAAGAAGATCAATACAGTTTATTGTTTTTTGATGTTAACTGTAAGGGTGTTCATTGTTAACTGGATTTATAAACGATTGTAACACCAATACTTGAATTAGATGAACTTGATGGCTAGTTGACTAAAATATACGTGAAGCTGCTCTCTGTTGATGTGGATGTGAATATTGGAATTGCCTGATCAAGTAGTATCACATAACAAAATGATCAATTTATGAATTAAAGGTATGGTAAGAAATTGTTTTGGATTATTCCTTTCAAATCAAAATATGATGGTCAAATGTCGGCGATATGATACTGCAAAATAAGTATCTCGTAATGTTGGTAAAATAAAAAAGTAAAACCAAACACATCAATAACAATCAAAAGTGGAACATAAAAAATTATAGCCTCTGGACTCATAAATCAAAGGGCATAAAAGAAGCAAAATAAGAGGAATTGATGATCGACAAACCCATACCTACAATTTGTCGATGGTTTCTACATAGCTAAAGATGAGAAGAGAAGCATGTTGGCTTAACCGAAGGAGCTACATGCACAATTTAGTTAGTGAAAATTAGGGCTAAAAATCCCACATCTCATAAAATTGTTTTATATTTGCTAAAATAGAATTTATATTTTATACCATATAAGCCAGAATTTTTTCTTTCGGCAATATGCAAAGGAGAAATTGAGGGACACCAGGGACTTTTGCACTTACTACAGGTCCAAATTTTGGATTATGTGGGTCTTCTTCAGGTCCAAATTTTGGATTATGTGGGTCTTCTTCCATTAGTGAAAATGGGCGATTAAAAATCTGAGAAGCAAAAATAAAAAAATCAAAATCAACTCAAATGCAAAGTTAAAGGAAAGAAAAGAAAAGTAAACCTTTGACTTTGACCTACCACACCTCTATTTCTTCCGCAATTTATGAGCTCCGACGCAAGATAACATGCATCACACTTGGCTGAAAAATTGACGGCTACCCATTTCTCAATTTTAATGGGAGTGAAAAGCTTCTGCAACAAAAAAAAAATTAAAATACATAAAGCAGAAAAGAAGATAATAGATATATAAGTTGAAAGTAAAATGGCAACAACAAAATAACAAAATAAGAATAGAATACCTTCTTATTAAAGTTCCATCGCCCATTACAAGTAGGGCTGACAATACTCGATACGACCCGCGATACGACACGAAATAAACGGGTTTGGGTTGAGTTTTTCAACCCGCCAACCCGTTAATTAAACGGGTCATATATGGGTTTCTCAAAAAATAAACGGGTTGACCCGCCAACCCATTTATATTTTTAATTATATATATATATATATATATATATATATATATATATATATATATATATATATATATATATATATATATATATATATATATATATATTTAAATGTAAATCCTAAGTAATTCTTAATCCTAAGGTAAAGGTCGTAATCTAATCTGTTTTGATTTTACCCATTCGAGTCTTCGACCATTTTCTTGCCCTAAATCATATCGTGTTTCGTGTATGGTGTATCCGTATCTCCCCCTCAAACGATCGGTCGATCGGACCCTCTTCTTCTTCTAGTCTCTCCGACAGCCTGACTCCCGAATTCCCGATCTCCCCCACCGTCGACACCCGATACTCCGGTTAGTCCCACTCCCCCACCGTCGACACCTGAATTCCCGATCTCCCCTATGCCTTCTGTTACTCAACGATCGGAATCACAAATCGAGGACTCGAAATCGACTAATTGAGTCATAACTCATAATCGACTGAAGCTGGATTGGTGACTGGTGAAGCGTATCCGTATCTCCCCTTCAAACGATCCAAAGGTCGTGCCGTGGTATGTTTCTTAAATTGCTCTTTTTTCTTAGTTTTGAGTTTTCCGATTACAGACAGTATATACTTCCTCAGTTTTCCGATTTGAGCTTTCCGATGACCTGAATATTCTGATAAGCTGATAAAATAAATATGTAACTGTGAAGAAACCGAATTTTGAACATGAAATTGATGTGTATTGTGTAATGTTGGTTTTTAATCTGGAAATCATACAATCCTTAAATTGTGAACAGGAATATATGTGCAGTTTGTATCCTGCTGCCTGCATGACACGTTAAGTCTTTGTGTGTGTGTGAAGTGTGTAAGGTGCTGTTTGATTTTCTGAAGCAAAAATTCATGAAGTCTGCAGACCACCTCTGCAACCATCTGCAGTAGAAGAGGTGAACCAAATGGCTGCAGACTATAATAAGAAGCGTGTTTGTTTTTTTAACGTCTGCATACTGCTGCAGATATTAAAAAATTAAAATAAACTAATTTTATAAACCGAAAATAGCTTTTTAATACGTAAAATTTAATAATGTATAACATTTCGGTAAAAATTAATGATATTTCAGTAAAAAAGAATGATATTTCAACAAAAAATAAAGATATTTTAGTAAAAAATAATGATATTTCATCAAGAAATTATCATTATTGAATATAAAAAAATGAAAAATAAATTCAATAAGAATAAACGAAAAAAAAAACGGAAAAAAATGTGAAATAAAATTTTAATAATATATAATCAAAATTTCAGCAATAAAAGAAAGAAGAAGAAGAGGTTGGAAGAAGTTAGAAGAGGCAGTACAAGTGCTGCGCCAAACAGAGCCTGCGCAGAGGTTTTTGACTCAGAAGACTTCTAAAAAACAAACAGCTGCGAGATGAAAAGTACTGCGCGTGTGCTGCGCCACGCAGCAATAAGAGGTTTGAAGATGTTTTTTTTCCAAAAAACAAACAGTACCTAACAATTAACAGTGAACAATGTATCTGTGTATGTGTGAATTTGTTTCTATACTTTATGACTTTATGTTCCTCCTATTTTTCATTGTAGGAAAGTTATGGCAGATACTAATAACACCAATCCTTTGGATGTTAATGATGGAAGTGATGATTCAGTTGAAGAAATTGGCCCAGAAAGTTTATCACAAGGTGTTGAGAGTACTTCCACAAAGAAAAGGAAAAAAAGGAAAAAAACTTCAGATGTTTGGAGAAGTTTTGAAATGCTACCACAAAAACCAAATGAGCCCTTGTATTGTAAGTGCAAAAAATGTGGGACAAAATATCAGGCAGAAAGCAAAAATGGAACAGGTAATCTACGTCGTCATCGAGATTCATGTAATATCTCAAGTACTAGAGATATCGGCCAATATATGATTTCTTCCAACAATGGTGTTATGGCTACAAGAAATCCAAATTTTAGTCAAGAAACATTCCGGGAAATGGTGACTCATGCTATGGTTAGACATGATTTGCCATTTTCTTTTGTTGAGTACGAAGGAGTTAGAAATTTTTGCAAATACTTGGAACCAGAAGCGAGTCTTGTTTGTAGGAACACAGCAAAATCTGATATCAAAAAATTATATACTACTCAACAAAAAAGACTCCAAGATGAGTTGCTTAGATGTCCTAGTAGAATATGCTTGACTTCTGATGCTTGGACCTCAATCGTTACAGATGGTTATCTTAGTTTGACTGCCCACTATGTTGATAGTAGTTGGGTCTTACAAAAGAGAATTTTAAACTTTTCCCACTTTCCTCCTCCACATACGGGTGTAGCTATAGCCGAAAAGTTGGGTGAATTGATTAAAAGTTGGGGAATTGAAAAGAAATTGTTTTCTATAACTTTGGATAATGCAGCATCCAATGATGTATGTGTTGAGTTGCTTAAGAATCAGTTTCGTTTGATGAATTCTTTGGTATATGATGGCAAGTTATTTCATCTTAGGTGTTGTGCTCATATTTTGAATCTGATTGTACAAGATGTTTTGAAACAAATTGATGTTTCGGTGGAAAAAGTTAGAGATTCTGTGAAGTATATCAAGGGATCTACACTAAGAAAAGATCGATTTATTCAGATTTGCTCTCAAAATCTTCTTGACTACAAAAAGGCTTTGGTTCAAGATGTTCCTACTAGATGGAATTCCACTTATAAGATGCTTTCTTGTGCGCTTTATTATCGTCTGGCTTTTTCTCATTTGAGCTTGAGTGATTCGAACTTTCAAACTTGCCCATCCTCTGATGAATGGGATAGAGTTGAGAAAATGTGTAGTTTTCTTAAAGTGTTTCATGATGCAACTCTTCAGTTTTCTGGATCTCTGTATCCTACTTCAAATTTGTATTTCCCTCAAATATTTTGGAATACATTTGAAGTTGGTTGAAACGAAAGACAGTCCTGATGAGTATATGAAAAAAATAGCTACTCAAATGTGGAGTAAATTTAGCAAATATTGGGCTGACTTCAATCTTTTGTTAGCTATAGCTGTGGTGTTTGATCCGCGATATAAGTTCTCTTTTGTTGAGTTTAGCTATAAAAAGTTGTATGGTGAAGGTTCATCACAATTGAAGAGGGTTGAGGAGGCACTTTTTTCACTTTTTGATGAATACATGCAAGCTTCTCGAGAAAGTAGTGATGGAAATGTTGAAGGTGGTAGTGGTAGTGGCGACTTTAATTCTCGACAAACTAGTGTTGGAAATGTTGGAGGAGGCTCTAATCATAGTATTCTTGAGGTAAGTCCTTTGTTCATTACATTTGCATATTTGCTTTATACTTTTGCTTTTTAAATATATTATAATTTTTTCATATTTTGTTTAATATAATAGGAGTTTGATGAATACGATAATGATGATATGGATTCGACCAAAAAAAGTCAATTGCAAGTATATCTTCTTGAGCCAAGAACTAAAAGAACTTCTTCCATTAACATACTTGAGTTTTGGCAATCCCAACAGTATAGGTATCCAGAATTAGCTAAATTAGCTATGGATATACTTTGTGTTCCCGTTTCAACAGTAGCATCTGAATCAACTTTTAGCCTTGGTGGAAGAGTTTTGAATGAGTATCGAAGTTCCATGAAGCCTGGCATTGTTGAAGCTGTAATTTGTAGTAGGGATTGGTTGTTTGGAGTAAAAGGTAGTATTTATAATTTATTGTTTACTTATATTAACTATTAGTTTGTATTGATTTTTTTTATTTTTATCTTTCTTATCCAGTTGATACTCATGTTGATGTCGATAAACTAACTCAAAACGTCATGGATATGAACATCGCCGAAGACAACACAGAGGTTACAAGTTCTAATAAACTTTAAGTTGACGTTTGGTGAGTTATTTTTAATGAAAACAATACATTTATATAATTTTACTTACGTATGTTTTAACCTTGGCTTTTCTTTCTACTTGAAGGTTGAAGTTCATCATAAAGAAGAAAATGGTGTTGAAGAATTAACTTTGTTTTTTGGAAGAAAGAAAATGAGAATTATGACTATTACTTTAGTACTTGAATTATCTATGTGACTATGTTTGTATTAATGTTTAGTTTGAATATGTTTGTATGAATGTTTATAGTTTTAATTGGATGTTTAATTGTTAATTTTATTTATGGAATCTGACCCATAAACCCAAATCAAACCCACGAACCCACCAACCTGTGAACCCGTATAAATAAATGGGTTCGTGGGTCATATATGGGTTTCTGTTCCAAACCCGCCAACCCGTGACCTGTATAATTAAATGGGTTGTGTTTGGGTTGACATATTTTGACACGCCAACCCGCCAACCCGCGACACGCTAACCCGAACACGACACGATTGCTAGGCCTAATTACAAGGACAAATATCTTCTCTATTACCACCTTCAACTATAATTTTTTAAAAAAAAATGAGAAAAATATCATGATGAATATATGAAATTACAGAAATACCCTTATCTTACCACACAAACCTTTGGTGCCTGAAGAACAGGACGCTCAACTTGAACAATTTGTCTCTGAATAGTAATTCCCCACCAAACCAATAGGCTAATCAACCCAAATAATGTTTCATTTTTATGATGAAGCAATTCATAATATCCAAAGAGATAAAAAGTCAAATCAGAAAAAAAAAAGTTGTTGGTGCTTCAAACATTATTTAGAATTAAATACCTGATGATAAATGAATTGGAATTAATTGGTTTGTGTCTGGGCAAAAGAAGGGAGTTTGATAGTGTAGTAATGGCATCAGACTTGCAATGGAGATAAACTTTCTAGTAAACACCTTCCATGTTGATCCAGTTGTAGCACCTAAATTTAAATATTAAAAAGAAAAACAATTTTAGCAAGAATGAATGAATGACGAATACGATTTAACAAAGGATTAGATAATCTTACCATGAGTATACCAATATCAGTGTTTACAATGGTTTTGGATTAGAACCGACAATAAGAACATCAAAACACAAAATCAGATAAATAAAAACAGGATTTTGAAATTGGAAATCAGAAATTACCTAGTCTCAGTGGTCGTTGTAATTGAATGGCGTGTACGATGGGTTTTGTTGTTGCCAGATGAAGCGACCATGGCAGTGGCGGTGCCAGTATCCGGATTCCAAGCGAGACCCGTACCTATCGTTGTGACCTTATAGTCTTTCAAGTTCTTCAAGTTGTAATCGTTCTACTTCTTCGACTAAAATCACTGCATTCTTCAAGTAAACCCTAGATTTAGTGTGCGACAGACATCAGTGACACCATAGTGGAAGCGGAAAGGATGGAAGATAGAAGGTTTTGGAGATAAACTGTGTTCAAGGGCGGTAGGTTGGTATCTATCGGTCCTAACAGCCTCCCCCGACACAATGTGACAACGAAACCACCATGGTTTCTCCATCTGGGTTTGCTGCGGGAGAAACGAAACAGAAGAAGAAGAAGTGGAGGAGCCCGTCGGAAATCTTTTCTTCCAACTGATCGAACCCTGTCGCATCCACATCTTCATCTTCCGTCGAGAAAAGCTCCACTGAAGACCCCCTCTGCGTCACCGCTATTGGACGGAACAAAATCGATAGGTGGGTCTTATTGGGCGATGTTGGCAGTTGAGGACACGTAGTAAAAAGGAAGTCGGTGAAGAGAGGCTATCTTATGGCAAACTTGAATGGTAAAAGAAAATAGACGGAATTGTAACATTATCTATAATCCAGGGGCTATTTATGTCAACTCCTTAGCAGTTTACTGTAGCTAAGGATGGATAACTTTAATCTATAGTATAATAACCAATTTTTTTGGGGTTTTCCAGAATACCACGTAACTAGTTATGATTTCTTATCGACCACCGAAAATCATTAGATATTTTTCTATCTAATTTGATATAGATAATGTATTTAAATCAATTTAGATCAGAATGTAATTCACACCAAAAACTATTAAGACATTATTTGAAAATGCATTATAACTAGTCGAAATTCGTTCTCGATGATGGTTGTCTTTCAAACTCCAACAATGAGCTAAGGTCTTTAAGGAATCTTTAAATCTATGAGGAAAAATGATAGAGGAAAAAGAACTAAATAATGGAAACTAAAAGTTGAATATGAGGAACTTAGGTAAGAAATGTAGGGTAAGCTGGTAGCCATTGAAGACAAGAAAAAATTGGAATGTGGACAAAATAATTCCAAGTCGTTGAACATTTGATAAAGAAAGTCGAGCTTGACTGTGAGATTGTAGAGAGTGAGTTTAGGCGAGATTGTGAGAATATGAATTAAAATAAAAGCTTAAATTGATAAAGAGAAAACGAAATTCATAGACAACTATCATGAATTTCAGTATTAAGAAAAGAATGTATATGAAGTTATGTTTTTATGTCCATTTCTATTTCTATTATGTTCATTTTTTTTTGTTAAAAGACTTATTCAATAAATATATTGTGGGTTGTTAAACAAATCTAACTGTATGATTATAAGTAAGATCAACTCATGTTAACCATATCATAAAAAAAGTTGCATTTAAAATAAATATTCTCATCTGTTAATATAATAATAATTGTCTATATAGACTGCTACCTTTGACATGTAACCCATGTTATAAATGTAATTCGCCTACGATAAACATAAGCCAGTGTAACCCTTGATGCTCCGATATATGTAAGCTAGTGTAACCCTCGATGACTAGTGACAACTCCATCCCCCCCCCCCCCCCCCCCCGGACTATTCTAGTATGTTTCTGTCCCCCACAAGTTTAAGTGTGAAACTCTCAGGGGCATCGGTAGGTTTGGTATCCCTAAATATGTACTAAGATTTGATGGATACAAGCTCTCATAGCAGTAAATTAGGGTGCAGTTTCTAAAAATAATTGCTACACCAGGAACTACCATAGATAGTGAGTGTGAATGACCAAAAATCCAAAACTAATGACCTTGCATTATATTTATGGGATGTATAGCTGTACAAATGGTTTAAAATATTAAAATTCATTTCGTTATAGGTGAAAAATACTAATATAATCCATAAAAACACATTTATGTCACATTTAGACCAATATGGATAAAGGCTTCCATAAGCTAACTCATGCCAATCTTATATATTAGTGTTTAAAGCTAACAATATTATTCTCCACAGAGCATCATCAGAAATTTGCTCTAGAAACAAAGATGCCAAAACATAATGTATTGTGAGTCAATACATGCATAAAATAGAGTAACCTAACTAAATGTTTATAGTATAATGATAACATACAAATATATAAAACTTACATCACAAAAAAAATATATTAAATTATCATTCTTATGAAAATAAAAACAATAAAATATAAATGACGGTGATATATGCGTAGAAGACGATTTGTAACATCCGATTTTTCAAATATATATATTTTTTTTAATTTTGAGAAAACAATGTTCATAAAACCCACATCAAGAAAAATGTAAGTATCAAATACAGTTGTTGCATAATATCAAAGTATCAAAAACACGCTGAAACACAAAACTGCAGACAAATATGTATAATCCAACCTTATCCTTCTCGCGATCATCTGAAGTGCCTGAAAAACATTTCGTCAACAACTGTAAGCACGATGCTTATTGAGTTTCCCAAAATATCACATACAACACAACACAAAATAAACAACTATGGGTTATCAGCAACCCTGGGGATTATCAGCAATCCCAATGGCCTAACAGCACGCCCGATGGGTTATCAGCAACCCTAGAGACTATCAACAGTCTCAATGGGCTAACAACACACACGATAAGTTATCAACAACCCTGTAGATTTATCAACAGTCTCAGTGGGCTAACAACACACTTGTGAGTTATCAGCAACTCTAAATAGTACATACAACAAATATCAAATATGACCCAACTGGTCAGCATACACACATACTATGACATAGGTAATATACTGAGAAGACTCACCTTTCACAGAAGACTGATAACCTTACACCCGAACTACCGGTACTATAATCCCCCTATTAATCATATCCAAAATAAGCTTAATTAACAATTAAGTTAATTAACTCAACTTAACAAGTTCAAATACCAATATTAATACTTATTTGAGCAAAATACCATTTTTCCCTTCTAAGTCCTCATCCCTTCAAATTTGACCAATAGTTAGACTAGTCAAAATGATAAAAATTAACCTCATTGTTGACTTAAACATAGCATACACCAAGCCTCTACGCATGACATAGAGGCTTAATCAGAATCAGGTGGAAATCAGGCTATGTCGGGCGTAGCCTAGATTACGCCCCGTGTACTGCCCTTTTAGCTAATCCTCGTTTTAAGCACTTAATATCTTACCACCTTTCACTCAAAGCTCAGATCTGACCCTAATGAACATTTCAAATCATAAAATCTCAAACTTTATGCCTTTGCATGGCCAAAGAGAGCTCAAGTCCAAGACCCTAACCATTTATTCATTCTCATGATCTAAATCTCATGCATGGATGAAAGGAAGGGGACATGATTGCAATTTTATGACTTAATACACCCCAAAACGTCCAGAAATGTTACTCACAATGTATGGAGTAGCTCATACCCAAAAGACCAAGAATATGAGACAAAAATGACATAAAATGATAAACTAACAATATCTAACAAAGCATTCATCAAGGTTTGAACTTGATACCTTCCGAACATGGACAAAGGGATGTAAGATCTGGATCCACAAGCTTGAGTGCGCCACAACTTCAACAATGGCCTTTCCTCATAATCAAAATGCACCAAAAATAACTTTAAAGCTCCAAAACTCTCTCCAAGGGATTAGGGTTTTGAGGTGGGGCTAAAGGGGATGGAGGTTGGTTATAAGACATGTATCAAGGGGTTAAGGTCCTTAAACAGGTCTCAAGACCCCAAAAATTAGAGTTTGTACTCTGCACCAGTACGCCCTGCATAGCTAAAGTTACATCCTACAAAGTGGATTGGACCCGTACATGGGTTTAATGAATTACGCCTTGCGTAAACCCAATCTACGCCCTACGTAGACTCCCATTTCTTAAAATTTCAAACTTAAAAATCATAAAGAGACATAACTGAGGAACGAGTGTTACAATTCTACCCCACTTGAATCAGAATTTGCTCTCGAAGTCGTCAACTGCGAATAGATCAGGGTAATGCTCATACATCTCAGCCTCGGGCTCCCAAGTCCACTCAAAGCCTTTCCGATGCTGCAACTGAACCTTGACCAATGTCAGTACGTTGTTCCACAACGCCTTTGACTTCCTGTATAGAATCGTAACTGGTGGCTCAATGTAGTTGAGACGATCATTGACTTGAATATCTCCCAATGGAACCACAACTATTTCATCGGCCATACACTTCCTTAGTTGAGAAACATGGAAGGTGTCATGAATCTGAGTAAGCTCATTTGGCAAATCCAACCGGTAGGCCACCTTGCCTACCCTGACTACTACTTTAAAGGAACTGATGAACCTAGGACCCAACTTGCCCCACTTCCTTAATATAATAACACCTTTCCAAGGTGATACCTTCAGGAGTATCATATCTCCAATATGAAACTCTAACTCAGAACATCGTCGGTCCGCATAACTCTTCTGGCGATTCTAAGTCATCAGTAACCTTTGTATGCCCTGCTTTACAAGCTCAGTCGTCTTAACCATTGTAACGCCTAAGAGTTAGGCTAAATGTTAAGGGGATAATAATAAGAAATATTTGTTTTATCAAATAATTAAAATCCTCAAATAGGATAAATTTTCTTCGTATGTGTATGTGTTACAAGTTAGATACATACTTATTTATTATATACGTGTTATGTGGACAAATATTATGGGTATGTAATATTTGTATAAATCTTGTTATAAACTTATCTAAAAGTGCTAAAGTAACATTTTTAAATAGAAGATTATTTAGGATAAATAATCTTAACGAAAAGTGTAATGATTGTAAAATCTCAAACTATATAAGAGGTATTTGGTCTAAATACATCTAAGGGCGAACCCAAGTAGTGAAATGATAATTTTTCCGTTATACCTGTTTTTTGATAATAATTGACTGAGTACTTTTTATGACATTAGTTATTGATTATAAATTTGGATAAGATTTTATTATAAAGGGTATAATGATTTTATTAATAAATAGTTAAGGGACTATAGTGTAACTTGAAGGATATATTGTATTAATACAAGAATAACTGAGGGACCATAAATGTAACTATAATTAATTTGTGAATTGCCAACCAACATACATGTAAGAAATATAACATACATGTAAGAAATATAAGAGAAATGTAAGAAAGGTTGTACATATTTTATTAATTAAAAATAACATGTGTTTTTTAAATATGTGATCGTACAACTTCATCTAATAAAAAGGTATACATGTTTTGTTTTTCTATTGACTCTTGTAACTAGAGTTATACGTGTCAATAATTTTAAATGAGTAAACACCTTAAACCGTACGAAAGATAAGAGATAAGTGGTTTGAATTCTAGTATAAATAGCAACATCTTGAATTATTTTTATATCAACAAAAGTATTTCTAGAAAATATTTTTGGATATCACTTCACATATTAGATGTTTTAGGAATATAATAAGTTGGCAAGCAGTGTTGAGCTTGGAGCCATAATAGTAGTTAGTTTTCACTAACTAGTCTGGTGAGT